ACAGAAGAGTCTTTTCTTTTTTAGAATATTTTTTAAAAATAATAGTAAAAAATAATATTAAAAAATAATATTTAAAAATAATATTAAAAAATAACATTAAAAATATTTTAAAATGGAAAATTAATCAAAAAATGGCCCAAATGTGGACCAAACACAGGCAAGAGACAGCAAATGAAGCAAGCAGCACTCACAGCAGCAAGGAATGAATCCAATCCGAGTTGCTAGCAGCCATTGCCAAGCCAACCCAATGCAAACTCCCTCGCCCTCTTGAAGCTACGGGCCGCGCGGAGCCGCTTTGAAAGGGCTCGCCGGCCAATCAAAAACAGGCAGCCACGGACCCATGGTGGTGCACTGTTTGGGAGCGCCGGATTGGCTCCCATGCACCAGCACTCCAGCAGCCTCCACCCCATTAACGAAACGAGCGGAGGCTCGTTAAAACTCTGGGGGCTGCTGGTTCGATATTTAAAAACCCTTCCGGGTTTGGGAATATGTTTCAATATCGCTTTGGAAATGGTAAAATTAACGAATTAATAACGAAATAACGAACGAAACCGCACAGGCCTATTGGACAGGTATGCTGGGCCGGAGCCGTAAAGGGTTTTGTAGGTCAGAACCAGCACTTTGAATTGTGCTTGGAACTGGATCGGCAGCCAGTGGAGCTGACACAACAGAGGGGTGGCATGCTCCCTGTATGACGCTCCGGTGAGTAATCTAGCCGCCACCCGTTGGACCAATTGAAGTTTCCAAACAGTCTTCAAAGGCAACCCCATGTAGAGTGTGTTGCAGTAATCTATTCAGGATGTAACAAGAGCGTGGACCACCATGGCCAGATCCGACTTCCCAAGGTACCGGCACAGCTGGCACACAAGTTTTAATTGTGCAAAAGCTCTCCCGGCCACCGCTATATTAAAATGTTTTAACCAAATCTTGAAGGATAATCGCCAAGAAGCCGTCGACTCAGTATTTAGAAGAAAAACTGACTCAAGGGAAGATACATACCAACCTGGAAGATCCTGGAAGTCCCGCACAAACCCTTCCTCTTTTTGTTTTGTTTTGTTCGTCTGTTTTTGTTTATTGCTTCTTTTCTCTATTAGGTTACTGCACTTGTTCACCCACTTTACTATATGTTATTGTTCCCACTCTTTCCATGTACTAAAGGGAAATCACAATTCCCCCTTCACTTTTCTTTTACCTCCTATCTTCAGGAGCAACATATTCTAAATAAAAATAAATTTAAAAAAAAAAGAGCACCAACCATTAGGTAAAAAACATAGTTTGCCCTTGGTACTATCCACTAGGCCTGTTTGATCAAGAAAAAATTTGTTTCTAAAATCGATTTGTAATTGGGGTGTTTTTTTG